AGTAATGTGAATGCTGAAAGGGTCCAAGACAGATAAATCTGAGGAATCGGTGTACAATAAGTATAATCATTTGGCGGAGCGTGAGCGAAGTAGATCTTTTGTTCTCCATAAACACTTAGAAATACTGCATAAGAAATAATAAACAGCCAATAAACTGTTGTGAAACCAGAAATATTGCCGCGAGACTGAATCAGAGGAAAATAATTAATCGAAACCCTTAGGACAATAAGAAAAGGGAAGCTGTAAAGCCACTCACTCTTGGTAGGAGCCCAGTTCTAGCGTCAAGGCGTGATTATTTTTAACAAGACTCCACTCAGAAACTGAATCCAATAGGAGAACGAAAAGAAGAAGAGGGAGGAGAAGCTTTAGTACTCCAGCCCCATCCGTCTCTTGCCGTTCCTGCTGCTAAGAAATTGGGCCTGTCTAGAATCAGAGCTAGCATTGTTGAAAGTGAACAAACTAAAAGAACATGAAAAAGCAAAATAAACGCAATGTATTTTGAAATATTGTCTTCACCGAGCAAACTTAAGAAGGAGCCAACAAAGGAAGAAAAAGAGGAGAGCAAATAGGAAAAGCTGGCAATAGAGACCACAAGCACAGAAACCGTGTTCTCGTCGAATGCGACCGACTCGGCGCAGGGCCGACCGCAGCATACCCTCGGAGCGCGTAAACATATCTGAAAGACTGCCGTCGAGAAAGGCATTCTGATCACGCACTTCATCGCCGATACTCTTGGAGAGTTCACGCAGCAGATCGACCTTTACACATAGTTCACCAGCCAGAGCGTCGTTATCATCTGTGAGAACGCCACGGCGGTGGCTGTTTGAGTGCTCCCAATTGCGATTGGACGAGCGCATATCCTTTTCGAAATAAAGTTGAATTAGTCACACTGCTTAAACATAAACGCTGAGCATGTTGAGCGACAACTAACAGATTACGTCGAAGAGATATTGCGCACACGGATTCAATAAATCAGAGGTAGCATTAACCAATGAGATTATGAGCGCAGATAAACAGAACGTGTACTCATAAAATAACGCATTTAAAAAAGCCTACAACTACAGTTTGTTTTACTAAATGTCAAATCTTCTTCGACACTTTAAGTAACTGATTGAGGATACATTTGCATTTAAGTGGCAATTCTGGTAACTCGCTCGAATGCATTCTCAAATTTTCACAGCTCCCTGCGTACACGGGCACGTCAGTATACCACCAGTATGAAGCACTGATTAATACCTGCTCGATGAATGAAGCAAAACTAATCTCGTGCCTATAAATGCAGTGCATATTTTGTGCTTAAATGGCCCTTACAAGCGGTCGAGGAGCCTGCCGAGAAGACTGCTTTCTTTAATAAGAGAACCTGGCTTTCCGTGCACTTTCTTAGATAATGTAAACCTCACTAGTCTTTGATAAGCCTCTGCTCAATAAAGCCTCTTCTGAAAGTCCTAGAGGCGGGAAACCCAAATCGGGACCAGCTGTAGTACTTTATGCATGTGACCACCTAATGCCTGGCGTTCATCATTGTATTTGTCCTGCCGCTGTACGTGTAGGCTGGACTTCAAAGCAAGCCAAGGTCAAAATCCTTCTTGTCTTCCTAGAAAACTGGGAATCACCTTGACTTTAATGACCTTTCTACCTAGTTGGAAGTCTCAAGTGCTGCATTAGTGGCTACAGTAGTAATTCTTTCGTCTTCTAGCGTCTTAAAACTTCTAATTTGGTGAGAGCTAGTGCACCGCCGCAGTCTATGACTGCCTGTCTGACTGGCAATTGCTTTGCTCTTAATTTTGCCCATGTGTACGTAAAGTGGCCTTCAGGTCAAGTCCAAGCCAGCCGCTTCTCCTTCTCCTAAAATGCATGCATATGGA